AAAAAAAGAGTAAAGGCTTATATCAACAGGAAACTAGTTATGTCACTATGTGTATGATATAATTCTTAAAAAACACTTCTTTAACACCTTCAGCTACTTTATGTCTACATGCTGAAGTGATCAGAAATGATTCATTTATTTACTGGTCATTTTTTGTTCTTAAAAGTTATAAAGGTCTTTTACAAAAGCATTATTAAAGTGACCCATGTGGTGGCGAACACCCACCAGGAATAACATTCTCCAGCAGGATGCGAACATGTTCGTCCCTGTCAGACCGGGTCTGTTCATGGTTGAAGCCCAGGGCGTGCAGTAGCTCGTGTTGGATGACTGACTCAAAGACACAGCCCTGGCGACTCAAAGACACTATCTGGCCAGAACCCCGACGCCCGACAAATGAGTAACACCTGAAAGAGAGAAGTAATTAAAACTACCAAACAACATAACAACCTCAGTTCCTTGAGCAGATTTCACATTGCTTCCCTGGACTTGTTTGATGGCAAGTCATCTAGATCTGGGTGTACACAGGGGCTATGAGTGCATTCATGTACTGTATACATGTGTGGTCTGTTTACTCTGTCGGCCATACTGTACCCCGATCGAGATTGGATGTCCACAAAGTCTCTTTGTCTGTTCAAGGGGACGAAGCGGATACAGGTGGACCTGCCAAATGACTCCAGACCTTGGATGATGGTATCTCTCTCTCTCTGGGCTTGACAGTTAAAAAATGATTATCAGTTTAATGTACTGCCTTGTGGTAATTTTCTGATTCTTTCTACCATCATATTATAATTTTAGCAAAAGCTTACTGTGCTGCTTCTAATACCTACTATACCAGTACTGGTATAGCTACTGTTACAACTGCAATACTGCTGCAACAAGCTACTGTTGCTACAGCTAATCCTGCTGCCACTGCTGTTGCTATGACTACAGCAGCCACTTCTACTATTACTAGTAATGCTATTGCCATATTGCTACTATTACCACTGCTACCTTTTCTATACCTCTACTACAAGCATTACTACCACTGCTAACGCCATTGCTCCTATTGCAACTACCTTTACAACTACTAGTACTGTGGCTATTGCTACTACTGTTAATACTAGTGTACTACTATGACTAGTAGTAGTCTCTAGGGGCTGCCCTGTTTCCAAGTTAATCAGAAGTACACCTCTCAACAATAATTATGAATAATTAGGCCTATACTGTGGTTTTCCTGTTTACTTGTCCCAGCCCTGCCATCAGACACTTTGGTATAT